TTAAATACTAATAATAAAGTACTTATGCCACCAGTGCCCCAACTTCGTCATGCATTTTGTAACAGTAACATTTACTGAAAATACTTTTTCTTACCTTGTCTCTAGTTTCCAAACTGCAGAGCTTTGTGAAAGTGATCTTGAAAACTGGAGCTGACGTCAGTCTTCCAGTGAATAATGCTCAGATTCTACAAAAGGTACAGTTACTTTTCTTATTATCTTATTGAGATTATATTTCATTAAAATCAACACGACATATCATTTGTATGTACAATAATATAAAAATAAAAAATGTCGATACAGTGGTCCCTTGTTTATCCCGGGGGTTACGTTCTAAAAATAACCCACAATAGATGAAATCCGCAAAGTAGTCAACTTTATTTTTGACAATTATTCGATCTGTTTTAAGTCCGTAAAACCTCTCAGCACTAGACTTTTCTCACACAGGACACTTAAAAAACTTTTTTACATCCTTTTTCAAACTTATTGCTGCTGTTGTCCTTTTGTGATTTTCCTCCTTCTTTATGTAACGAACCGAAGATTCATTTATTCCGTAATGACGCCTACAGACATGTAACTTCTACCTTCCTTCAGCGTGTCCAGAAGTCCAACTTTTTGTGCGATGGTTACATCTTCTTCTACCTTTTGAGTGCGACTGCAGGAGACTTTGTCAGTGCAGAACGTTTCATCGACATTGTGCGTTTTGTCGGGGAGAAAACTTTGCAAACATACAGCACTTCAAAATCACATTGATACAGATCCAACATTTATGTAAATTTGTCAAACTGAACACATTCTGTACTGTACAGGAGACACGGCACGTCCCTCAGCCAATCAGGACACAAGGGGAGGAACACAATACAAAAAAAAGCATGCAAAATTGCCCACAGAAAAATCCGCGAAACAGCGAGGCCGCAAAAGGTGAACCGCGATATAGTGAGGGACGACTGTATATCGTATTGTTTAATTTGATAATACAGTATCGCTATCTTGAGCTGCTGTATCGATATATCAAATTTTTTTGTATATTTTTTTTAAATTATTTTGTGACAGCGTTACAGTTGTGTTGCTTGTTTTTACAGATAGAAAACTCGTATATGCGACACATTTGACATATTCACTGAATTGTACTGAATCAAAAGCTCACTGTATCGTATCGTGGCCTGTGTATCGAGGTAAGTTTTGTGTCAGTAACTTCTGAATGACTTCCTGTCCTGTTTGTCTGTGGTTTTAGGTGGAGGCAGAGCTCAGACGTCGTGGGTGGACTGACTTCAGACTGACATGGAGGATTAAACCGGTCAAACAGATCCCTGAAGTGTTGTCCCAACCAAAGTGCACCCAGTTCTGACGCAGAGAAGTCGCAGCGTTTGTTCTAAACTACATTACGATGTGCCTCTAGACATCTGTTAACTCACTGAACTTGGTCAAATTCATGTAACCTAAAGCAGACCTGCAAAGTCGACTTTTTCGCCATGTTTCACCCTTTACTCACCCGGAGTTTCAAGAGTGATTCGTGCACGTTTGAGCAATTTTTAACCCTCTCAGGCTCAAATTAAATTTTAGTAACAGGAAACAATCTGATATTTGGGGATAATTATCATATGGGGTAGTAATATACAATCCTGACTTTTTTTTGAGAGAGACCTTCACATCCAGTGTGTCTGGAATGTTGCAGATTTGTAGCATTGGTCCGGTGTGGTAAATTAACACTGAAGACTGAAAATGATATGAACGCTAACTTTATTTGTATACCACTTTTCATAACAATGAAAACATAAAGCTCAGTGTAACAGCTTTACAGTGGCACAACAACATCACTTTTTCGTGTGGTGCTCCAAGAAACTATTTTTATCCTTTGTAAACAACAAAAATACTTTGCACTTCTGGCAGGCCGTTTGGGTGTAGCCATTCTTGCACAGTCTGCATCGTCCACATTTATCAGCATGGAGGGGAAAAAATCTCCTGAGTAAAAAAAAAGCTCATAAAATATGGATTTGGAGCGAGTAGGTAATTGGCATTTAGCTGTTGCAAATCTGCAACGCCTGCCTGGAGAGGGTTAATCTCTTATTCTGAAGACGCCATTTTGCTGATCAAGCCTCATTTTCACCGACACTGGTACACTCTCACTGCTCTGTGCTTCATTTTATTCGCTTTAATACATGCATCCCAAACCTCTGGTCATTGCGCAATGCATACTGGGAAAGATCCTCCGAAAAAGTGAGCATCAAACCGTCATATTTGATTTTCCAGTGGGATGCGTCTATTGGGATAAGTCTTTTGAACTGTATCGCTTTTGTTTCTGGTTCTGATTTTGTCATAGTTTAGTTTTGGGATGCGGACATCGTAATTGTGTGGTTGTTGGATCCTAACAGCGGCAAATGGGCTTCGGAAGTTTGCGAACTCCATAAATGCAAAAGTGAATCAGATGTGTGTGACTCAAACCTCCGTTCAAACTGTTTCTCTTCCCAGCGGAATTGAAAAATAGTGAAAGGTGAAGGCGACGGGCAGGATTGATCCACAGGAAGAACCAAAAAGAAATCATCCAGAGTTTGTGGCGAACATTTTGTATGTGGAGCGACGACAACGCAAAATCCCGTTTGTTAATAGTAGAGGTGCAGAAGACAAACAGACTGAGCTGCACTTTCTTGTTCTTGTGGTTTTACAGAAACATCACGTCTTGGTCTCTTTGCAGTGGAAGGTGTTTCTTGGTGAACAGTTGGTGCCTTTCACTTTGGCGTTGACTTTTTAAATTCGTAACTGAGGTTGAGCGAGGGATCGAGGTTTTGTTTTGTTGTTGCTCCACTTACAAAATGTTCTCTGCAAACTCTGGATGATTTAGGCAGTCAAAGGTTTCCTTTTTCGTCCTTCCTGTGGATCAATCTTGCCCATCGCCTTCGCCTTTCACTATTTTTCAATTCCGTTGGGAAGAGAAACAGTTTGAACGGAGGTTTGAGTCACACACATCTGATTCACTTTTGCATTTATGGAGTTCGCAAACAAATTTCTCGAGCCATTTTCCGTTGTTAGAACATCCAACAACCACACAATTACGATGTCTGAATCCCAAAACTAAAATATGACAATATCAGAACCAGAAACAAAAGTGATATGTTTCAAATTGGTTTAAATTCGTAACCAAGGTTGAGCGAGGGATCGGGATCTTGCTTTGTTGGTGCTCCACATACAAAATGTTTGCTGCAAACAACAAAAAAATAATGTGAGTCCTATAATAAAAATAAAACTACCGTATTTTCCGGGCTATTAGACGCGCTCTTAAGCCTCCAACCACATCAAAAAACGACTGCGTGCTCCACAATCCAGAGCGCCCCTATACACGAATCCACTCGGGTGTCCCAGCACGACTTCAGTAAACTACAAAGCCGCAAACACAGACACACTCATCACTCCACGCCGACGAAGAACGGAACGGAGGAACGAACCGAAAAAGCGAGTCCAATGTGCCGCTTCTAGACACGACTGAACAACTGAGTCACTGCGAACACGCCGACAATCCGTTGGTCCCAGACACACCCTCCCTACACGCCACAACTGAACAAAGCCCAGAGTCACCGTGAACGAACAAACAAACAAAACCACTCACCCATCACACTGTTGGGTTTCCTTTAAAGTCCCACGCAGTTTATTTGTGAAAAAAGTTAGAAAATAGACCATTTAATGACAGTGCGTCGACTAATCCAGCGCGCCAAATAGTGCGGAAAATACAGTACAGTAAATCAAAACAGTACATGGCCGTACATGGCTCCGTGACGAGCAAAAACTCAAAATGGAGGCTGCTCTTATGTCCACACGTTTCCACATGAAATATACCAAAATAACAACAAATTAAATATATTCAGGCTTAAACAGTGCCAAATAAAAGTACATACAGCCATCAGTGGCAAGTTTAAATAGTTTTTTATCACCTCATTTCATCGCAGCAAAGTGCACCTTACAAAATTAAGAAAAGTAGAACATAAAACTCACCAAAACTCTTCGCGTAATGGCTTAAACTCCTATTTCGGTCACACTGTCCTCGGGTCGGGCTTGAAAACAGATTTGCCGTTATCTTTTAATATTTCTCTGTAGTTTTGTGCTAATAACAGCTCTGTGGCATGAGCTCGTTCGCTCTCTGTAACAGGCCTCACGTTCGGCTTCAGTCTCTCGCGGGAGGTGGACGGACGTTTGGAAAACTTATCGATAACAAAAAAGTTTACCGATATTATTTTTAAATCAAAATAATAAAAGCCATGAATTACTTTTGCAAATAAGATGTATATTTTAATAAATACATTGATTTTGACAGTTTTAATCATGTTTTTAATAAATTATTCACTTTTACTGACCTTTTTCTGTCATGAAACGCTGTTATTAGAGTCTGTTTGTAACGGGGGTTCGTGGGTCTTGATGTTATTTATAGCAGTACTTTTTTCTGCGGTGCTCGTTGCTTCGTACCATTTCTGCCATCTGTATTTTTCTTACCACTGTTGTCCTGCTCATCACTGCAGTGTAATAGTTTGTTTACTCATCGTCCTGTCGTGTAAACTGTCCATGTGGTGTGAGGTGAAACATCTGAATACAAAAAAAAGTTTATTATGTCAGGTTGTTATTGGGACATGTGTGTGTGTAATTCTTCTTTCCACTCTTTTGTTAAAAGTGCAAAAGTGCCCAAAATAAATGAATATTGTACATCTTTAATACAAAGTGCAGAAAGTGTCACCACTGTGAGCCACAAACTCCCAACAGGGAAAGATTCGAGCCTGTGAAGGCTTCTTTTACTGAAGCACTGTGTGACAGCTCCCTCTAGTGGTTGTACAGGATCAGTACACAATATTGGCAGAACAGACTGCAGAAACTCTACACACATGCGCACACACACACACAACACACACACTAACACAAAACACACACACTCACACAGGTGTTAACTCTGAGTATTTTGTTGCTTACTGGCTTTAATCTAGCAACCAAAATTTATTGGAAAAAAAGATACAACACAACTCAAGTCATTCTCACATGTATTTATTCTTACTATATCATTCATATTTTATATATTTATATATATATGTATATATTTATATAGATATTTACAAATGGCTTTTTGCCAATAGAAGAAACAGATATTCAAAAATGGATGACAAACAAGTTCAAAATTCAGTGCTATGCACACAATATTTGATTTACAAAATGTTCCGTCATGAACCCATGTCGCAGGACAGCAAAAATACTTGGTATGGGGTAACATACATGTAGCCTACATCTGGAGGTGTGTAGTGAGCATAAATTACAACTACGGCTTTAGAACATGTGCAAATGTAGTGTATCTGAAAATGCCACCTCCCCACGGCTCCACAGGCTGCGCACAGGCAGAGTCCAGACAGTCCACTTAAATAAACATCACAGACACAGACGGTGGGCAGAGGAGAGGACAGGAGAGTACAGCCTCGGATTAGCAGCATTCACACATTCTGAGAGACACTGTCAGGGCGTCCGTCAGAGCACTGATAACAGTATGGAAGTGAAGAGATTCTGAAATGACGGCCACATTCACGCGCTCAGAATACACTTTGGAATTCAATGGCTTTTGGAGGAAATCGAACTGCGAAGAGAAACAGGTTTCATACATGCTGAAAGCACCTCTTTCTCTGAAAGAAAATGCCTTTACAAAACTAGAACCACGCGCACGGGCACGTGTGTGTGTGCAACAAAGCCATGTGTCCACAAATACAGTACATGTCATAGTCTCTCTGTACACCTCAATGGTCTGATAAGAAAAATAGAATAGAAAACGCCTCTGGTACATTCTTCCAAGCACGCTTTGTGGTTGGTCGCACACAGTGGGAGGGAGGTCTGGAGGTGAGTGAAGCACTGGAAGCTCAGGGGTGCACCTTGAATGAGAGCAGTTCCTCTGAGTGCATGTTGTTTAATGAGCGCAGCTCAGGCAGTTTGAGCAGCAGTTTGGTGAAAGTGGTGGATGCGTCTGCCCCGTGGTTCTGCATCACCAGATTACGCAGCGCTCGGATCAGTTTGTCCTGCAAAGCCTCCACCGAGTTTAAGTCTTGGATTCCTGAACGATCTGAAGGAGAAGAAGAGGCTGGAGTTAGGACCAGAGCCAGAGCCAGAGCCAGACTCAGTCAGATCTGCTGCAGGGAACGAGTCTTACCTGCAGAAACTAGAACCACAGCTGTGAAGAGGCTCATCTCGTCTGAGTCCAGGCGCAGAGCAGCCAGCTTCTCACTGAACTCACACATGGAGGTGAGCAGTTCTCCAGCACCAATGGAGCGCAGCATGTCCAGACTGTAGCGCTTCCCACTGAGGAATGTCACTGTGCGCTCAGCCATGTTGAACAGGGAGGCAAAGCGCACCATCAGCACCTGCACGACACAAACAAACAGGGTATTAAAGGACTGACAGGTGCAAACCCACTGCTCCTGTACAGGACTCAGTGTTTGTTCAGTGCAGGCTGAGCAGAGCACTGACTCTTGCCCAAACACTATGACAGTGAATATTCTGCTTCAGCGTCTCACCTCAAACGTGCCAGCCTTCAGCAGGCTGACCTGGTCCCGCTCGCTCAGTTCTCTGAAGCCTGGGATCCTTTTGGCGAACTCCACGACCTCCCGCACAGCCGGAGTGAAGCTCATGGAGAACTCCTCCCAGACCTCCTGACTGGTTTTGTGTGGGTCCACATAAGGCGACGTGTTCATGGGGCACACCTGAACAACAGAGACACACGTGAGTCTGAAGGAATCTTTAAATACTGGCCCTTATTGATGCTACAGGAAACATGGGTTTGTTACTCACCAGGTGAGTGCGGCTGCTCTGAGGGCAGTGTGGGTGCAGCTGCTGGTGTGTGGGCTCACAGCTGGGGGCGCTGTGGAGCTGCTGATAGGTCTGCTCTTGTCTGTAGGCTGCATTAGTCACATGTAGGCTGTCTGAGTAGCTTGTGTTGTTCCAGCTGTTCCAGCTGTCCTGCTGCTCATCTAAGCTCCTGTCACACGTGCTCTCTGTGGGGACGGGCTCCGGGGAGCTGGGGCTCTGGCTCTGGGCTGGAGACCTCTGCTGGTGATACGTGAAGGCGTCCTGGTGCTGCCTGTGAGAGCTCACCTCATCCTCTCCGCTGTCCGAAGAGCACGAGGAGGCAGAGCTGGAGTTGGTGTCCATGGAAACGACAGACTCGGAGTCGGGCGGGCACTGCGGAGAGGGCGGGTCTGAGGCTGAGGAGGAGGAGGAGGAGTTGGAGGGTGAGGGGCTGGCCTCGAGGGGCAGGGGGCTCTGGTGGCCCTGGAGCATGCTGTGCAGTTGGCTGTTGGAGCTCATCATGTTGTTCATTGCGTTTTGCATCTCCAGGAGCATCCTCTGCTTCTCCCTTTTGGGGATACGGCCGAACCGCACAGCTGCACAAGGAAATTACACATTTAGAATTCACTCTATCAATGATTTTGTTTCAGCTGAACTTGTTTTCAAAGCTCACCATCTCTGGACATGCCCACAGACAGACACTTCTTGAAGCGGCACTGCTGGCAGCGGTTCCTGTTGATCCTCATGATGGTGCAGTTCTCCATCTTAAGACACTTTTTATACTGAATATTCTGCTGGATGCTCCTTCTGAAGAAGCCCTGTCAACATGAACAGAACAAGTGTTAAACTTCAGTTACAGATCAAACCATAGACTCAAGAGTCTGAAATGTCCCACTGACCTTGCAGCCCTCGCAGGCGTGGACGCCGTAGTGGAAGCCGGAGGCCACATCTCCGCACACTTTACACAGAAGCACCATGCCATTGATTTCTACATGAGTAGAGAGGAAGGTCAGTCATGTTCCACACTTGAGATGTTTAGAATATTTATTTATGATTTGTTTTCTTACTTGTGATGCTGCTTTTGGCAGCTGTAGATGAGCGCCCAGCTTTGTCCAGGCTGCGCTGTGGTCCGCTCTTGGCAGGAGGGGCGATGTCCACCACCATGCCCACGGCGCGGCTGGGCAGCGCGGGCCGGGACAGGGGAGGAGAGGACGACAGGTACCCGCTGCTGGGACTGGTGCTCATACAGGACTCTGGACTGGAGGCGGAGCCTGAAGAGATGTAGGCTATGACGCCTCCTGTGGACAGAAGACAGGCTTTTGTTAGCTCAGTATTCGAGTGGTGCGTCCTCAAGTGCGTGGAGCATCTGTCAGTGACACGCCTCGAACCCTTCCTGGTTGGTCTATTGGCTGCTGAGACTGACCTGCTTAATCAGCCTGTGCTGCTGCTGCTGCTGCCGGTTAAATAACACTGTTACATAACAGAGCCGGTCTCTGTGCTATGGGAGTGTGCTGCACTGACTGGAGGACTGCTCCCAGACAGGGTCAGTGAAACAGTGGAGCAGCACAACACAGGCAGAAGATGGGCCAAAAGAGAAGGTCCAGTTCTTACGTAATCACCTGAACAGCAGCACACAGACGAGACCGAACCACGGCTCAGCAACAGGCCGATTTTATTTGAAAAGTGGAATTTAAAAGGCCCATGTTATAAAAGTGTCCACGTTATAAAAGTGTCCACAGCTTTATTATCCTACTTCATTCAACATCATCTGAGCTGCTCCCATTTTCATGCAGGTCAATCAAACTCATTTTACAGCCTCTTTATGTTTACAGCAGGAACTAATGACCCAGCTCCACAAAGTTTCAGTAGAAACACACTTCCACTGAAAAGCCCACGTTTGTTCAACTCCAAACATGCTCCTGAAGCATCCACAACACCTGCTTCAGAGTAAAATGTTGTTTTTTTACAATACAAAGTCCTGCTTCAGTCAGAATCATGTTCAGTTTCGTAAGAGAAGTGTTTTTAAAGAGGACTTCTCAGTTGTCAATCACTGCTTATCTTTTTATCGCCATAATAAAAGGTTCTATTGGGCAGCGTGTGTTTGAGAGACTTTTAAATGTTGTTCTTGATTAAACTCCTAAATTTAGAGGCCACAGCAGCTGATTACCTAACCTGAGCGCGCTGTTCCCTCTCGCCTCCCACACGTGGACTTGTCATGAAGAGTGTGAAGCGGCGCGAGGCGCAGCAGAATGTAGGTCAGATGTGCGCGGCTCACGTGGAACCTGCGCTCGAGCCTCGCGTCGGCTCCACGGACGCCTGTCCTTACGCAACAGGCTGCGTCACATGCCGCACGCGGACCAATGGCGTTGGACTTCCTCAGAAACGTATGCGCACGAGGGAACGCCCCTCGACCAATGAGAGGCGAGCGTCTGAGCGCGTGTATACAGAGGCACATGGCTCGGCGCTGCGGTCCATGTGAGTGCAGCGGGAAGTGGAACACTGTTGTTGTGTCAAATGAAAGATGCAACACCGTAACCCCGATACGAAACAAGGCGAATAACGAGCCCAAAACACACTGGTGCACGATCACACCACACTGACACGACACTTAAATGCCCCAAAACATCAACTTTAACTCCACTCAAGGGGCTTTAACGAGGAAAAGTAGTTTTTGACTTTCCTGCACATTTCTCCTCATCATCACGACGGACACTTTATAAATAAATGAAAGAAGCACAAATGGAGCACACAGACAAAGTGTTCACAGAGAATATAAGTGTAACTCCAAGAGAAGATCCCTTTATGGCTGAGAGTAAGGCAGAGTTAAAATGTTGCACACTGCTTTAAAAACAGCCTCAGTCTCTGCACAAACACAACAAAAACACAATAACCGTGTGATATTCTGTGCACTTACCGGGCTTGGCTGTCCCCACGTCCTCAGGCATCTCCGACAGGACAAACAAACAGATGAAAGTCGGTAAATGTTGACTCGGGTCACTTCCAGGCTTCAGGTCCTCGGTGATTCTAGAGAAGAGCGAGCCTGGGCAGAGCGCGCGTGCAGGAGAAGGACATCCGTGCTCCGAGACAGAACCGTGAAACTGTGAGAAGTCCGCACTGTCAGGACTGTCAGGGCTGGAGGCTGTGACTCAGAGCTGCAGGTCCGAGCTGCTCGACTGGAGGATCTCCCCTTGTTGTGAGTGACTGCGGGTTAGTCAAGAGAACTAAATGTTCTCAATAGTGGGTTTGCCCATGTGACCCATTTGTTGGCCACGCCCTCTCCGCGCAGCAGCCCGAGCCACTTTAACCCAGTGACACACTTTCAGCACAACACGGGGCGGAACTTCGAGCACAACGGGGCGGACCTTCGAGCACAACACGGGGCGGAACTGCGAGCACAACCCCGGGGGGAGGAGCTCGGGCTGCGGGACGTAACAGGCGGCGGTAACACGGCGGTCACGTTGCAGCGCACAACGTGAAAGGTGAAGCTTTACAGTAGACTCGTGTTCGGTCCACGCTACCCACTGCGGACCATCGAGTTCAGCCTGTTTTCTTTTCTGTTTTTTTTTTTTAAATCAACGTGTCCTCCTTTGACATAAACAGGCTGTGGGAGGCTGACCGCAAGGACTTTTATTATTTTATTTTCTACGAGTTTATAAGTACATTGGACTGTTAACCCCGACCCTAAATAGACTAATGTTAATAAAGCCCAGTGTTTTTCTAAGATAGTAGACTTCAGGCTGATGTTTCACCTGCATTTCTTTATATTTCAACACGACATGCTGATCCTAAACTAAAACAAAAATAAAGAAATATTCACTTTGCACGTTGCAGAAGAGCCTTTAATTGTGTGACCCCAAATTTGGAAAAGGATACCCAAGTTTTTTGTGTGTGCTGACCGCAAGGACTTTTATTATTTTATTTTCTGCGAGTTTATAAGTACATTGGACTGTTAACCCCGACCCTAAATAGACTAATGTTAATAAAGCCCAGTGTTTTTTGATGTCAACACGACATGCTGATCCTAAACTAAAACAAAAATAAAGAAATATTCACTTTGCACGTTGCAGAAGAGTCTTTAATTGTGTGACCCCCAAATTTGGAAAAGGATTTTATGCGTGTAACCCAAGTTTTTTGTGTGTGCTTTGTTTTGCTTTTTCATATTTTAAGCGTATTTTTAACAAAAGTCTGGTGAAAATGCTGTGCGATGGCAGAGTGGTTAGCACCGAGGGCATGGATCCTCTGTACTTCTCCCACACTGCAGAACACGTGTTTATGCACAAGCCACACACCCACCTTCGGAAAAACACACACAGTTTCCAGGAGACTGATCCTAAACTTATCCATAGTCATTACTCGCCCGAACTTAAAGAGCACAGATCACACGGTTTATATCACACGGTTTTATGATCTGTGTTCAATTAAAATGAAAATGTATTATTAATTAGGGCAAATGTTTATTAAAATGGGGCAAGTGTATATTCAGTGTTGGGAAGGTGACTTTTAAAATGTATTCTCCTACAGATTACAGATTACAAACCTCAAAATGTAGTTTGTAATGTAATCCATTAAATTACTTAAAGTGAGTAATGTAATCTGAATACTTTGGATTACTTGATTTGCTGTAGAGAAGCAAAGACGAGGAAATCGTAACATAAGATGTTTTGTCTGATAAAAGAAAATAAAAAAGCCCAGACTTTACTGAACCAAATTAAAAATATTATTGATAGTTTAGTCCTGTTAAATCCTGGTTTAGACCTGGTTTAGACCTGGTTTAGACTTGGTTTTAGACCTGGTTTAGTCCTGGTTTAGTCCTGGTTTAGACTTGGTTTTAGTCCTGGTTTAGTCCTGGTTAAGTCCTGATTTAGACCTGGTTTGGACCTGGTTTAGACCTGGTTTAGTCCTGGTTTAGTCCTGATTTAGACCTGGTTTGGACCTGGTTTAGTCCTGGTTTAGACCTGGTTTAGACCTGGTTTAGTCCTGATTTAGACCTGGTTTGGACCTGGTTTAAGACCTGGTTTAGTTTAGACCTGGTTTAGACCTGGTTTCCTGGTTTAGACCTGGTTTTAGACCTGGTTTAGACCTGGTTTAGACCTGGTTTTCCTGGTTTAGACCTGGTTTAGACCTGGTTTGGTTTACCTGGTTTCCTGGTTTAGACCTGGTTTAGACCTGGTTTTAGACCTGGTTTAGACCTGGTTTAGACCTGGTTTAGACCTGGTTTAGACCTGGTTTAGACCTGGTTTAGACCTGGTTTAGACCTGGTTTAAGACCTGGTTTAGTCCTAGTGGCGTTTGCGTTTGTTGCGACCCCTCTCGGTTTCCGTAATTATAAGTTTGGAGATCGTTTCACAGAAATCGAAATCGCGATCAAAATCAAAAAGGCCCCGAACTTTCTCCTGAAGCAGAATCTCCGAGAACGAGGACAGAGCGGAGCGTCCTTCAGCCTCGTGAGACGGTGACTCAGAATCGTTTGTGTTTGTGCGTAAATGTGCATCAGCTTGGATCCGCGTGTCCTAAAGTCTCAGTCCTTCAGTCCTTCAGTGTCTCAGTCCTTCAGTCCTTCAGTGTCTCAGTCCCTCAGCGTCTCAGTCCTTCAGTGTCTCAGTCCTTCAGTGTCTCAGTCCTTCAGTGTCTTCAGTTCCTTCAGTGTCTCAGTCCTTCAGTGTCTCAGTCTTCAGTGTCTCAGTCCTCAGTCCTTCAGTGTCTCAGTCCTTCAGTGTCTCAGTCCTTCAGTGTCTTCAGTGTCTCAGTCTCAGGTCTCAGTCTCTTCAGTGTCTCAGTCCTTCAGTGTCTCAGTCCCTCAGTCCTTCAGTCCTTCAGTGTCTCAGTCCCTCAGTGTCTCAGTCCTTCAGTGTCTCAGTTCCCTCAGTCTTCAGTGTCTCAGTCCCTCAGTGTCTCAGTCCTTCAGTGTCTCAGTCCTTCAGTCCTTCAGTGTCTCAGTCCCTCAGTGTCTCAGTCCCTCAGTCCTTCAGTGTCTCAGTCCCTCAGTGTCTCAGTCCTTCAGTTCTTCAGTGTCTCAGTCCTTCAGTCCTTCAGTGTCTCAGTCCTTCAGTGTCTCAGTGTCTCAGTCCCTCAGCGTCTCAGTCTTCAGTGTCTCAGTCCTCAGTGTCTCAGTCCTTCAGTGTCTCAGTCCCTCAGCGTCTCAGTCCCTCAGTGTCTCAGTTCCTTCAGTCCTTCAGTGTCTCAGTCCTTCAGTGTCTCAGTCCTTCAGTCTCAGTCCTCAGTGTCTCAGTCCCTCAGCGTCTCAGTCCCTCAGTGTCTCAGTCCTTCAGTCCCTCAGTGTCTCAGTCCTTCAGTGTCTCAGTCCTTCAGTGTCTCAGTGTCTCAGTCCCTCAGTCTCAGTCCTCAGTCCCTCAGTGTCTCAGTCCTCAGTCCTCAGTGTCTCAGTCTCAGTTCTTCAGTCCTCAGTGTCTCAGTGTCTCAGTCCCTCAGTGTCTCAGTCCTTCAGTGTCTCAGTCTCAGTCTCAGTGTCTCAGTCCTTCAGTGTCTCAGTCCCTCAGCGTCTCAGTCCTTCAGTGTCTCAGTCCCTCAGTGTCTCAGTCCTTCAGTCCTTCAGTGTCTCAGTCCCTCAGTGTCTCAGTCTTCAGTCCTTCAGTGTCTCAGTCCTTCAGTGTCTCAGTCCTTCAGTGTCTCAGTCCCTCAGTGTCTCAGTCCTTCAGTGTCTCAGTCCTTCAGTCAGTCTCAGTCCTTCAGTGTCTCAGTCCTTCAGTGTCTCAGTCCTTCAGTGTCTCAGTGTCTCAGTGTCTCAGTCCCTTCAGTGTCTCAGTCCTCAGTCCTTCAGTGTCTCAGTCCCTCAGTGTCTCAGTCCTTCAGTGTCTCAGTCCTTCAGTGTCTCAGTCCTTCAGTCTCTCTCCTCAGTGTCTCAGTCCTTCAGTGTCTCAGTCCCTCAGTGTCTCAGTCCCTCAGTGTCTCAGTCCCTCAGTGTCTCAGTCTTCAGTCCTTCAGTGTCTCAGTGTCCTTCAGTTCAGTCTCAGTCTGTCTCAGTGTCTCAGTCCCTCAGTGTCTCAGTCCTTCAGTGTCTCAGTCCTTCAGTCTCAGTCTCAGTCTCTCTCAGTCCTCAGTGTCCTTCAGTGTCTCAGTCCTTCAGTCTCAGTCCTCAGTGTCTCAGTCAGTGTCTCAGTCCTTCAGTGTCTCAGTCCTTCAGTGTCCTCAGTCCCTCAGTCTCGTCTCAGTCCTTCAGTGTCTCAGTCCTCAGTTCTCAGTTCAGTCCTTCAGTCTCAGTCTTCAGTGTCTCAGTCAGTCTTCAGTCCTCAGTGTCTCAGTCCCTCAGTGTCTCAGTCCTTCAGTCTTCAGTGTCTCAGTCCTTCAGTGTCTCAGTCCTTCAGTTCTTCAGTGTCTCAGTCCTTCAGTGTCTCAGTCCCTCAGTGTCTCAGTCCTTCAGTGTCTCAGTCCTTCAGTGTCTCAGTGTCTCAGTCCTTCAGTCTCTCAGTCTTCAGTGTCTCAGTCCTTCAGTCCCTCAGTGTCTCAGTCCTCAGTGTCTCAGTCCCTCAGTGTCTCAGTCTCGTGTGGAGCAGATGTCTTGTCCTCGGAGATAATAGTTCAGTCCAAATCCATGTGAGAAGGAGAAACCTCAACCAGAAACAACAAAACAAATAAGACAAATAAACATATTCATTGTCAGACTGAATTGACACATTTATAAATTTGACTCTCACTTAAAACGATCGGGAAATGGCGAAACATCACAAGGAATATTTGAATCTGATCGGTCGAAGCGTGGAACAACAGTAGAAAAAGGCAAAAATCTAACTTTTGTTTAATCCTCATCCCTGTCCACAAATGCAGAGGAACCAGAGCTCAGTAATCAGCGCTTCTACTTGGAAAGTCGCTATGAAATTAAATAGTCGAGGTCTGCCTTTAAATGAGGGAGAGTTGGTGTAGTGCACATGTAGAGGATCTGATGTCGAACTCTCGTGTCCCTGAGGCCTTTTCACTGTTCAGAAATACACTCATACAGTAGATGCCATGTCTGCGCCCCCTAGTGGAAACCCGCGAGAGCACAGGACCATGACGCTCGCAAACTTCTCCAGACTTCATCTTAGGTCACACCAGGGATGATCTCCTCCAGGTTTTAAACAGTTTGTTATAAATGTAACTTGACAAACGCTATGGCAAGATGTCATAAGATGCTTTTTTTATTTTGAAAGATGCTCTGGAACTTTTCTGGAGATGTGTCTGACACCTGAATGTTGTCTGTCTTTATTATTTAATTGCAGGTACAGTATCTCT